ATCTTTTGGAAGGAGCAAAAAATTCATTTCAAACATATCCACTTTGAGACTCTTTATTCGGTTATAATGACTGGAACAGCCAACCATAGATAAATTCTCTACCGAGTTTCTGAGCATAGCTAAGAACGATGTGAAAAACAGTTGGAAAAGCTACCAACAGAATTGATATTTGGGGCTATTTTGTAATATAAGAAGAGAGCATTCCAAAGTTCCATGTTCCAGATCGTTTCAATCTCAGAAAGCTTTGGGTTTCCAGTGGGACAGTCACATTTCAAGCTGATCACCTACAAAGTGATGTTCAAAATGTTGGTGTGTTCTCTTTGACACCAGAAGTCATTATGCACTTTTTTTTTATTATTAAAATCTTTGCATTTTCCAGCAGCAGAATCATTAACTCAGAGTATAAGGGAATCTAGAAACATTATTCATAATTTCAACCAGACATCATTCCACCATTCTGCACTTAAACTTCGGTCATTTGGCTCAATGGAGTAATTTAGATCTACCTTAGAGCAACTGAAAGCAGAATTTGGTTGACTGTATTCAATAGACATCCTTTTAAAGGATACAGATGTGCTCTTAATGACAAGTGCATAGTTCCAGCAAATATCTTTTTAAAAGTCTCAATTATTCTTCATAATAAAGATGCCTACTCAGAAACCCAGCAGTTTCCAGTGTTGGAAGGCTTCAAAATATAATGGTCTAAAGTAACATGTTTCCCAAAGAGGAAAAAAAAATGAATAAAACATGAATTTCATTTGCACACCTTCCTTCTCAAATTCTGCTACTAACAACAGCTATCTAGAAAAATAAGGAAGCAACTAATGGATTTGATATTTTTCTTTTCAGATTTTTCTCTTCCAGCCCAATCCCAGATGGCCTTCCTTGAAGATGCAACTGTACACCGAATTGTCCAGCAGCACCAGCAATCCGGGTGCTAAGGACCAGTTCTTTTTTTAAAGATTTCCAGTTTTGAAGGAAACCTATTAAAAAAACAATCAAAAAGCCTCACTCCAGAACCCTTCCACAAGGGGCCTAAGTTGGTGTGCTGCAACAGTTGGGTTTACCTGTGAAGCTACTGCTCATTTCAGGTGTATCATCCTCTTCCTCATTCTCCGCATGCACTATGCCAGCATTTTGCATATCATTGTAAGACTTGGTCCGCTTTGGAGTCGACTGCTTGGAGCCGGGCGGCAGGTTTTGCTGCGCATCGGTGGAAGTCACTTTCCCACTGACGGGCTGGCTCGGAGGCTTGGGCGTCCCATAATAGTTCCCTAGGCAATAGAAACACATTTGCATGTTCAAAAGCAAGCAGTTTCTAGCAGCAAGATTCCCATTTCATTTTCTTCCCCGTCCCGTCAAAGTCGCTGCCTCTTCCTGCAAAAAAACAGATTAACTAACACGCGTCCTTCCCATTTTTTTTTCCAAGGCACATTTCATCTCGAGAGCGGGCACAGAAATATTTCGTGCCTTTTGAGCTATTCTTGTCGCACGTAAAAGGAGAAGCAAGGCTCGCATTGTTTAGGTGCACTGAGCGTACAAGGGCTAAAACAAAAGGCAGCCGTGGTGAATAGCAAAACTTCATCTCTGCACATCTGAATTTCAATTAGTAGCCTCTTTACGTGCGTGCACCCACACAATGCCTTGGCAGATCTGGAGTGAGCCCTGCAGAAAATAAAAAATTCATGACTGCTATCACCCAGAGAAGTGATGAAAGCTCGATGGCCTGCTTTAATACCCAGGTTCCTTTCGGGGGGATGTTGTGTTTTGAAAAAGCAAAAGCAAGTCTCGCTCTGAAAGAAAACTTTGTCAAGAAAAAGAAGAGGCACCACGTGGCACTCACTCGCTTCAAAGCAGGAGTCCAGGATTGCTGCAAGATGCTTCTCCCCTTAGGGTACATAATATTCCAGAGTTTTACAACTTAATTAAAATCAACAATAACCCCAACACACCTTTCAAGAGTTACTATATATTTTCGTTTGCCACCTTTGGTCTCCATGGGGGACTTCAATATTTCCCCTATGCTCTCAGGGATGCCACAGTATTGAAAATGGAGGACAGTTTGGATACTCATTGTTACACCCTACCACTGCCTTCCAATGGGGGAAAAGCTCCTTTTCCTCAAACCAGGGCTGGAAAAGCTGGAGGAATTTCTCTCTCTGAGCATTCACACCCGCGTACGAGGACAGCAACACGTGCAGGTTTGTCTAAACAAGGTGTGTTCGCGCCTGTACACAACACCGCGGATCCATCTCCATAGGAGCAGCGACATCCTACAACGCTTTCATCTGCTGCTCGTCATTTCAGAATCTTAAATGTACATTGATGCATAATTTATAGAGAGAAGGAAATTACTTCTTCTGGAAAGAGCTCCTAATGGGGATGGAGGCTCCTAAAGCAGGTTGCAGCCTCTGCTAGAGAAATGATTCTTATGCTCTACATACTGCAAACGTATTTTATATAAAATGGGAAGGAAATGGAGGAAAGAGGGTGCAAGACAAAAATACAAAGGGATAAAAATACAAAGGAGATAAAAATCAATTTGTCCTGATTCCACCCTATGCTGTTTTGCATTTCTCCAGAAGAAGGCTACTAATTTGTGTTTTTCTTTTTTCCTTCAAAAAAAGTCGACTGTTTTTATGAGGATATTAATACTAAACACGCATATCTATGTGTTCACTTGAGTTCAGCTTTCTATTTGTAGCTCTGAACATCAATATTTTGTGCAAGATATACCGTAGGTATGTTGTAAACAGCCAAACCCAGAAATCCTAACATCTAAATAAAGAATATCTAAATAAAAAGACCTCTCTAAAGCAACCAACCCAGCTCATGATGAAAGAATGCAAAAGAAAGTTCAACCCCAATGAGAAATAACTTCTTTTTCACAAAAGCTCTAGTCTAGTTCTCTTTCCTACCCAGTTCATTTTGAAGGCCCAACATATGGGCCTGGGGACAGATCCCCATTAAGAGGGACTGGCACTTAAAATTGTCATCAAAACTAATCCTTCAACTTGAAAAGAGGAAATATTTACCCTATGACTCAGAAATACAAATGTGCACCACTAACAACTGCAGGGAACAGCCAAGTAAGAGTTCAAAAGCACTCAGTCTTATATTATTTGCTTAATCTGTCAATACTTATGGAAAAAAAATTAAAAATACACTTTAATTGTTTTTTTGTGAACCACTTGTAAGCCTTGAGAAGGGGCCAACCTCAGAGCCAGTGCCATGTGCACTGAATATCCAATCAGCTGTAATTATTAACAGCACATTACATGTCCATACACAACCATCTGCCACCCTAGAGGGTCCCAACACAATGCACAAACTCATCACAGCTACAGCAGCCTCCCCGGGGCGCTGAACTACCAGGACTGCTCAGGGAAGTGCTGGAAACTGTAACTCATTCCCGAGAGAGGAGATATTTTGAGCAAGACAATGGGAAAACCTCAAATCTTCTGGGAAAATCCCAATTTGGAATCACTCCAATGTGTGAAAAGCCGTGCATGTCTCCATGCCCGATTCCTGGAGGAACTGCGTTTTCCACATTTGGATGCTACCTACAGCAACTGAATTAATGCCCAATAACAAGAGCATTTGCTCAACAGACGCGCATCCAACACCCAAATTCCTTGTCGCCACCTTCCACTAAACCTCATTTTATTCGGTCCCTTGGTACTTAGGTTTATTTAAGCACAACTGAATTCTGATGGCAGGCTATCTCCAACACCTTATAAAATATGACAGAAACGGAGCCCCAGCTTTATGTCTTCCACAACAAAAGAAAAAAAAAAAAAAAAAAAAAACAGAATAGCTATTTGGAGCCGACTCCTTTTCATTTCCTTATCTGAGAGCATTGGGAGCTTGTGCATTTCAGTATCACACACAGTAATTAAAACATGAGAACTGCTAATCACAACCACAGGAGGAGCTTCCATCATCTCAACACTGCTTTCTCTGCCGGTTCAAGCAGGAGAGCGACTCATGGCAGCTCCCGCTTGTCCTGCCACTTGTGAGCAAAAACTCAAGTTTTACAAGCCCGGGAGGGATGGAAAATCTGCCTTGTGGCACTTCAGAATGACGGCAGAAACATCCTTATTAAAAACCAGGCTCCCCTGCAGTGCAGCAAATTCACATCCCCCTTTCGACTGCTTGTTCCTGGGACCAGGAGGATGATGGACCCTAATTCTGGTACCAGAGCCTCTGTGCTCACCTACGTCCAGCCCAGCTGCTCTCATCTGAAAAGCAACGGAGGAGCCAGATCCCGGGAGCTGAGCGCCTTCCCTGCCCACATCCTGTTCTGCTCCAGGTTTCTGCATGTAGCTGACGGATCCGGCTGTGGGATGCACCTCCCTGCATTGATTAGCGATCAACTGCAGGAAATTCCGAGTATCCAGGCAACAGGGAGGCTGCAGCAGCTGGATTGGGAAGCGAAACGCAGGCAGATGACAGGAGCTGGGAGGAACGAGCCTGCCGCTCACGCAAGCCAAACCCGTCACAGACAGCAGGGCCTCTGTCAATCTGCAGCGACAGAGGCTGGGGTCAAATGAAAACGAAGTAAGGATTTGCGCTGCTGTTGGTCAAAATTAGCCAGAATGGTGCAATATGCACATTTCAGGTGTGAAATCCAGCATGCAAACGTACCACAGCTAGTGCCCTTACAGGCAATGGCAACACAGAACAAAATCACCTGAAGGTTGAGACCAGTCTGAGTTGTCCTAATTTCTGCTGCACTGAGATATCAACTGCTCTTGCCACGTGGCTTTGGTTAACATGTGAGTACAGCGAGGTGCAAACACATCTAATTCACAAAAAAAACCCCTAACTACCTAACATGAAACAAGGACACTTACAGCACCCTAGCCTGTGGTTAGCGAGGAAACAAGGACTCGAAATGACCCGTGCTCTAACTTAAGAAATAACCAGCCAACTCACAACTTCTAGTCCTTTTTGTCAGATGTTTTTGGGAGCAGCCTCCTCTGCTCCCAAGGTCTGTGTTTTAAAGTGGATCAGGAAACCGTGGAAAGCAGTGCAGAGCTGCAGGCAGAGCTCACCTCAGAAAACTTCTTACTGAAAGCGCACAGAGAAAGCAATCAGAAATTCAAATTAGAAGTTCATAAGAAACTCAATGCCAACTGAAAAGGCTTTCAGGTACTTGCATATTTGCTTTTTAAAGAAAAAGGAGTTGCTCAGCTACTGTTCCTGCTCTTTGCAGAGTGAAACATTGCTGCCAGGTAATGTAAAATATAACAACGTTCCTGTTTAACGCTGATAATCACACACACACACACACAAAAACGTGTTTTCTTTCTTTCTCATCAGTAACAAAAAACCACAGACAACCAAAGCAAAACCATCAACAGTAGAAGAGAGATCTTTCCACAGGGCCCAGGTGCTAATAGGTGGATATTCGACACGATACATTGCAACGGCACTCAAGGGGCTGTTTTGATTTATTGAGCCAATCTGTAGCACACAGACATTAATAGGCAGATCTTATTAAGCGGAACATGTCTGATGGGCACCCAGAGCACCTGCCACCTCCTGCTCTCCCCGTTGTCCTGCCACAGACATGGCATTTGTTTGGAAACCAACAGAGAGCAAAGAATCCAGCAAAGCAGCAATAAAAAGACAGTTTTCTTAAAAAAAGCTGGGGGAGCAGAGCTGATTCAGAGAAATCCAAGTGGAACTAGCACATCAGATAAATTAGGCTAAAGACATCTTGATTTGAAGCATGTTGCCGAATACACCTCTCTACTCCAGCTGAAATTCCAACTGCACTGTTAAGGTAATTTATTGCACTCATTAAGCACCACAATCAGAGACCCTGTCTACAGTAGCCAGTTTTATACATTTTAAAAATGTTAGCAAGTCACCCCATTACATCTTAGTCATGAGACTAATGCAGATTACTTATTACTTCTCTTGGCAATCACATAACACTTGTCTAGAGAATGAAAGATGATGCCTTGACAATAATACTCTAAAATGTAATAACCCTTCACATGTTATAAAGTGCAGCACTTTTTCTTCTGAGGATCATTAAGTGCTGTGCAGGCATTCATTAGCACCGTCTGGCCAGACCCAGCAGCACAGAGCCATCCTCATGCAAAATTTGCCCCAAATTTGCATTTCTTTGCAGTGCCCATCTTATCTGGGAACCTGAAATACCATCATCTCCACCACTCCTGTCATATCCGCAATAGCAGATATCTGCAGGCACAGGATATCTGCTGAAATTTTAATGAAGAGAGAAGTAACAGTTGTTTTAATATTCTCCAGGCCAGGAACCTGACATACAAGGCAGTTACCTGACTTGCCCAAGGCCATTCAGAAATGAGAATAAAACCTAGAAGCTGTGGCTCTGCTCAAAACAGCACTCCCGGGGGCCCTGCCAGAGCCCATGATTCAAATGCAAAAGTAATTGCTGAATAATTAGTAACCTACACAATTACTTCCATGCATCCATCAGTACTTTATGCTCTGAAGGATCAGTCAATAAATGACTGCGATTATAATTATTGCGGTTTGCTATCTATCAGAAGGCCCAAATAATGCTCAGTCTAAAAAGATTTTTCCTTCCTAACAAGGATGGTCAGTGGGAATGAGCAGCCAGCTCGAGTGCATCCCATCTGGCTCTGCCAGCATGCAGGAGATGCAAAAAGCACCAATTCTGGAGCAGCATCACAGCTTTAAGCAAGTCTTTCAGTATTCAAGCGTCAGCTCCTGAAATCCTGTGACCATATGAAAATTTAGCTTTCATTAGAGGAAAAAAGGGGAAAAAATCCAGCTTTCATGGTTGAAAAGCAGCATCTTAAAACATTATCAACAACAAAGTGGCTGCAACAACAAAGTGATTGCAGCTTGCAGTTTCTCTCTTTGCAAAGTTGTTTTTTTTTTTTTTCCAAAACTCAATCTACTCTCCCACTACTTTGTGGTTTCCAACTGTTCTCTCCTGTTTGCTCTTTCTTCTTCCCAAATCAATTGTATCTATATCCGCATCAAAGTCCTGCAGGCTCCTTGTTGTCTAATCCCTCTCCCCCGAAGTTCTCAGTAAGTTTTATTAAACAAATGCTCAGTGTTGCATCTTTTCCCACCAGGTTTTTCCTGATGATAGTGCTAGCACCTGGGTGGCTTTATGCCTTCAAAAGGCAAGTAAATGTCATCTGCTGAAGTCAGAACTATTGTGAGCATTTTGCTCAGAGTTTCTCCCAAGCTGCAGAAATGTAGCACACAATCCCAAAGCAAATATTCACCTCCTCCCACTCACAGACTTTCAGAAACGAAGGAGCAGGAGCAAACCCAGGAAGCAGCCCTGAGTCAGAGCCATCAAACTCTTCAAGCCATGCAAACTTTTGGCTCCTGGCCACACACAGCTCTCTGCAGCTCAGAAAAAACATAAATACCAGGAATACAAAGAATTCCTCAAGGGATGCTCCTTCCCTGCCAAAATCCTGGACCACTCTGTCAAACTTGCTCTTAAAACCATCAGTGGAAGAGAGTCTGGAACTGGCTTGTCTCCTTCACAGCTCCATAATCTCACTATCCAAACTCTGCTTTCTTTGCTGCCCTTGAGGCACACTGTCCTTCCCCCACATGTGAAATGTTTCTGCCTTACTGTGGCCATCATAAGGTCTGTAAGCTCTGCTCAACTCTCATGGGATCTAAGCAACCTCATTCAACCCCACAGGATCGTGGGGTTAATGCAAGGTGGCAAGGGTTTCCCCTTTAACATCCCCACTCTCTATTTTACTCTCTAAATTGCCTAATTACAATCGCAATCAAAGGCAAGCTCATCTTTGTAACTGTTTGACTCCTACTCAGTACAATAAGCAGCATTATTAATAATAGAAGCCATGCATTAAAGGTATTACTTTATTGTTCTCCTGAGAAAAGCAGCAGACTATTTTCTTTTGCTTCATTCCATAGCCCCAGTTTAAAATGAGGTATCACTGGCAGGGGCAGAAGTATAATCAGCTTCATGACGAAGCTTAAAACAAAACAAAACTAAAGCCACACCAGATAATAAAGCTAGGCAATAACAAAAACTTGGACATTAGAAGCCTAAGGTTGTGCTCCATGTTTTTTGGAGGGCTCCCCCCACCAAACTCTTGGTTATTGCAGCTTTGAATTACACTATTTCAAGATACAATCAAGACCAACATTGTCTTGATCAATACTCTGAAAAATAAGATTTCCAAAAGTAGTACAAAGTCATTAAAGAAATCTCAGAAGGCAGCAAAATCATTTCTTGAAGCTGTAGGTGAAAAATGAACATTATTTATTTCACATTACAATCAAATAGTAACGTGTCTTGATGCATATGTACACACATGCATCATCATTATTTCCCTTATTCTTATTGACTTTTCCCTCTATGGAGCAGCTTTCCAGAACCATTGTGCACCAATGTCACTGATGTCAATAGGGAAAACGGCTTCTCAGCACTTTTGAGAAATGAGTGCCTCATGTTCAGACACTTCTATCATCCTCAGAAATGAAATACCCATTAGAGCCATGAGAAACCAAGACCATCTTCAGAAACTGCAAAGAGCAGCCCACAAAATCAGAATTGCTTATCTGGCATTAGATATAATCACATAAGCAATGAAATGACCGTGCTATAACTGCCCAGATGGGCACAGTGTCTCCTGCAAACCGCTCCTCAGCACGTTCCAGGTGTGTTGGAGACAGCCACCCGCTTTGCCATTCCAAGTGGAAAGGTCAGGAGAACAAACAGGATCAAGGAGTAATGGGGAGGCAGTTCAGCTGACCTATGCCAAGCACCACGACAAAGAGAACTAATTTAGTGCTATAATTAGAAACATGGAGAGGAAAAGTCCATTTTGGAGAAGTGCAGTTCCTAGAACAGTAGCAATGGTGTTGATGGAGCTAATCAATGCAGAGAGGTGGAAGTGTGAAAGCAAATCATACATTTAGCATCTTCATGCAAACCAGGTTTGACGTGGCAAATATCTGGCATTGGGAATAGGCACAAGGTTTAAAGGTGACCTGACAAGGCAAGCTTTAAGCAGCAGGCTAAGCAAACAGTTTCAGAACCTTTTCTTACTGCTTAAAATCAAAACCACATGTCACAATCTTTTTTGGTTCATGCTTGATGATGACTTTTCAAAGACTGTCAGTTATTTGGATGCAGCCTGGATTTTTAAAATACATCTCATGTTTCTTATGAAAAGCTGCAAGAATTAGGCTTTTTCAATACCTCATAATCAAGACAAGATCCATTTCACTTCTTGTAAATGGAAATATGAGATGCGTGAGCTAAACTGGACCACGACTTCCAGAACTGTAAGGCAGTTATTTTAACCGATTTTTCAGAGAGATACATTGAAATGTTCCCAAGTTAAAAAAGAAAAAAAAAACACATCCCCAAAGAAGTTTTTAATTATAATGAGCTATAGATTGCAGGTTTAGTTACACAATGCATTTTCTTGAGAGACAAACCCATCTTTTCCCCACTTTCTCCAGAGTAATATTCCAGTGCCCCCTAGTTGAATCAATGCTACTGTTTGTAAAGCTACGCTGTGGGGGAAAAAAAATCATTAAATGAACCAAATTAGAGGCAATTATCCAAGGAGAAAAAAAAAAAAAGCCAGATGCAATGTGTCATATAGCTGCAACCTGAGACCCAGCTGGGTGTTAAAAGATGGACACAAAGGGAAGATGAGGACAACAGGAGAAAGAAGTCCATACCTTCATATGTTCCTACTTCAAGAAGGGTCCCACTTCGCTCCAACTCCAAAAACTCCTGCACAGTCAGAAAGTTATAGTCCACACCAGGCACTTCTCCTTCTCTTGGAGGGCGAGTTGTGCCTGAAGGGAGAAAAAAAAAAAAAACAGCATGTTAATGAAGTTGTTCTCTTATCAAAAGGTAGTAGGGGCAATAAATCATTATTTTTAAAGACAGCATTTGTAACATGTCAGAAGTCCAGACAGGAGTTAGGAGGTCCTAGAAAAAGAAGAAAATCACAATTTTGTCTGGCTTTATCACTCTACCCCATTGTTTTTGATATTTCCAAAGAGGCTCTCTTGCAAAGAGATCCCCTGGATCACCTACAGAAAGAGCTGCAAAGTTCAGTGCCTGCCAGCAATTGCCTTCCTGTTCATTAGCATGATCACACTTCTCCTGTAGTAAAATAGCACTGCATACTCTTAGATAAGACAACCTCTTTCTGACTTCATTTCTGTATCACTATCTCATCAACTATCACATCACAAAGATTTTCCTCCCTTGTTCTTCTCCCCATTACTTGACCTGTATTTATGCTATTACTCTTCATCAGCATTAAAGAGCGCCATGAGACAGATTTGATACACAACGTGATGCCATCCACGCACAACTGCTGAAGATGCAATCCACAAACTTTCCTTGCAGAAGTTCACCTAGAAGCCTAACCCAGTTTAAGGACAGTTCTCTTTTTGAATCATAACTCAAACGGAACCTCTGTCTCCCTCTACCACTTGACAATTTGAACAGTATCCATGGAGAACTGGGCTCTGATTACTGCAACTCTGCCAGCTCCGAAACTCTTCTCCCTTCCGGCCAATTTACAGCCCTGTGGTGCACAGTTCAAGATGAGTCACTCCATGATTCTTTGCTGAGATGGCTTGGGCCACTGCATTTTAGGTCACTGAGCACAGCTTAATTGATTAGGATCAATTTCTGTTCAATAGCCTTTATTTTCCATGACTCCAGAGGCTAGGAGATGGCTGAATTCTCTGCATACGAGATTAAGCATAAACGACAGATTCACAGATAGTTCAGGAGCATGAACTTTAGAAGGAGGAGCAGCAGAGGGTTGCAGGAGTGCAAGAGCTGTGGCCACAACCTATCTGCCAGCTTGGCAGTAACATTAAAGATGCAGAGGCCATACCTAACATCTAATGAAGCATGAGTTTTCCCTTTGGTGGGACGCTCGGGCCCCTGGGCAGCATCTCCTCAATGCACACAACGCCTTAAACCCTCCATAAAAGGACTGGAGAAAGGATAAAGAAGTTGAGCTTCCGGAAGCTAATTGGGAAGGTTCCAGCCCTCAGAAGTTGCGAGGCAGGAATTTACCATGTCCGCGGCTGGCAAATGTTTTTCCCAAGTGCCAGGGAAGTGGAAAGTCCCCTCATGCCAGCTCATGCAGGTCTGCTCAAGTGGTCGGCCTTGACAGCGACACCCTTGAAACACCCTCGCTAGACTAATTCCCCCCTTACACACCCACCTCCTCCAACATGTTCCATATCTTCTTCCTAAACAAGAATACTTTTCTTCATCCTCAGCTGGTAGTTATTCTACAAACTGCTTTTGCTCCCCACCTCTCTCCTGGATCTGGGTTAATAAACCCAGAGGAGGAGGAGCAGATCAGAGATGACAACAGATAGCTTGACCCCATTAGCAGAAGTACTTTTTGCTGTTTCAAAAGATTCAGTTTTGCATTCTTGGTGTTCTTGGAAGACTACGGCAGCTTCTAGCAAGCAGTTTGTAACAGGCGACAGACAGCTCTAGACCAGAGCAATAGGAAGAGGGACCCCATGGCAAGACGAAGCAGCTCCTTCCTGAGCACCCACATCACTGCGCTCGCATTTGGGCTGTGACGACCCTCACCAGGGCGTCGGGGCTCTGCCGCCCCTCTCAGCTTCCCCTGAACCAGAGCCAAGAGACAGAAGGAGTGACAGGCCCCTACAAAGTGAATCACGGCTGAATCACAAAATATATTTTTTTCCATGCTTTTGCCAGTACCTGACGACACACGTGCATTGAAACACAGATCACAGAACTTCAGGACTCATTTTACTTTTAAAGCTCTTGCCTTTTCTTTATCTCTGTCTCCCCACAGAGACTATTTATTAATCTTGTTTTCTTCTTCCCCCTTCCGAATTTTTATAGTGGTGAAACTGCAGCCAGCAGTTTGCTGGCTCTGGCTGCTTACTTGACATGACAATTATATCTCTGCCATAATTCCTCCGAGCCGTTTTAATGGATCTATTTGTTTCATCTCAGTGTTCCTAATTTCCTGAATATGCTCAAGCCGAAGCGGCGCAGATGCGCTCGCTATCAGCACGCGCGCTGAATGCATGAGGAGCGCCGGGCTGCGGCGAACGTTACATCACGGAGATAACGTTTGTCACCTCGCGTTGGGCAGGGAGAAATAGAAACGACATCGCTCTGGGTATCTTATCTGGGAGACGGTGAAAACCCAGCGCTTTCCTTGTTGCTGCCCAGCGCCGCGATTGCTTGCGGATGCCGGGGCTGTGATCCGGGCTCGCGTCCGAGCGAGCGCCGGGGCAGGGGGAAGGGGCCGGCGGCTCCCGCGGTGCCGGCTGGACGCGCGCCTGGCAGATGGCAGCGAGTCTGCGCGGACCATCTGGGCCGCGCGCGCTGATTGCAGAGCACGCCGGCCACAAAGCCGCGCGGCCGCCGCGCCGCGGGGAGGGAAGGGCCGGCGGAAAGAAAAGCAGAGGGGCACCCGAGCAAAGGCCGCTCCGTTTCTTGGGGACGGGATGCTGAAGAGCAGCACCCTCCGAGCCCAAGCCCTTTAACAGCCTCCAACAACCGCTCGGCTCCTGGGCAGCCTGCACAGCCCACTGGGCCGCACGCTGCAGCCACGGCGCTCTGATAAACCTGGAATTGCAATTAGGGCTCTCAGCATTAACATGATTTAATTATGTGCAAAGCCTCCCCTCCACCCCAACCCTCCCAACGCCCTCTTGAATTGCATCCCTAGCCCAGGATGGCCATCGCTGAAGCAGAGCACTGCAGAGCTGGCTGCACACTTTATCAGCAACTTTATAGCAACTCACACCACTGCTAATGGCAGAAATTAATTGAACACAATGAATTCTGTCAGCGGCTCAAGCAGTAGTTATATATTCCATCAGAAAAGGGGAGCCAATCGCATTTGAATGCGTTAACCTGCCTGCCACGCTTGCATTGAAATATTAAGTGGCATCAAATCTTATTGCCATTAGGTAGCAATTTAGCTAATTAATCTAAGCTATGTCCTACTGCGTGACTAGCTCAGAATTGCTAATGCTACAGGGAGGAGGAACAGGAGGAGACACCAAGCAGTTACTGACTCTTTCCTCACGTGTTTTGCAAAGTTCCCTCACAGTTGGTCAAAATGCCCTATAAAATATGAAACTAGCCAGAAGACATGGGGCTCTTTGCCCAAGCACAGCCTGCTGCTCTGCTTAAGCTCCTTAAATTAAAGCTCGCCCTCTCTGCCCGGAATAGCAGGCTGTACCAATTCCTGTCTACTATTACTCAGAATAATATATGTGCCCGCTAAAAAGAAAAACAGCTAAGGCTGTTATGTTGCCTATCAACCATGCCGGCAATTATCCAACGTGAGTTTCAATTACAGCATGGCCAGATTGTTAATATGTGATTCAAGAGCCATTTATCTCCTTATCAATCTACCAGGGCCTCATGTTAAGTTGTTAATAACCGCTGATGCCCTGCTGCTAAATGAATCGGAATCCTGCTTATTGTAACCTAAGAGTAAAGCTTCAAAGGGGCCACAGTCACTTCAATTATTTCCTTGTTAAAAGAGAAACAGTTCCCAAGCAGTAATTCTTTCGCTTTGCACCTGAACAGCCTTAAGCAAGTCATTTAGGAGTTGACTTCTTGAATGCACAACACCTCGATCTCTCATTTGCAAAGCTGTGATTCCTGCAAGCCGCTCGCACGGTTCCGCTGTCTGGCTGCGAGTCCCCAAAACGCCTAACCAACCTGCAAGGCATCTGCACAAAAGAGCTTTCATCTCCGCTGCCCGGCTTCTCCCCAAACAGCAGATAAATTCGGGCTTTTTCACAGGCAGCCTACCGTTACAGATGGCATAATGATATTTCCAACGTGCTTTTGTCACCGATAGTTACCCACAGGTGAATGAAACTGTAGTAAATAAGGCTTTAATGAGAAGGGTGCGGGGATACTGTGGGCTCGCAAAGATGCAAAGCCAGGGGCTGTTGTGGGGACCCAATGAGCAGCTGCTTGCAGGATGCTCGGGGGAAAGAGGCTGCCAGCCTGAAGGTTGATTTCTGTTGTTCATTCAACAACAAAACAAAAAACAAAAACAAAAACAGAAAAAAAAATCACAACAATAAAAAATAAAGGGCAACCTATCTGCAAGAAAATGCTGTGCACAGAAGTACTTTGTCTTGATGTCAGACGTTATCCAAGTTAAGGCTACTGATATTTTTTCCCAATGCCGGAGGAGGAAATTGCCTTTGGACACTGCTGTGCTCTCCACTACATGAGTGTCTCGTCCTCATCTAGCTATGTTGGGGAGAGGTTGCAATTCGTGGGTGCAAGTCCATGAAAACACAGAAGTTTCTTGCCAAATGAGACAGCTGAGAGACCTGATCTGTTCCAAATCCAGCGTGCTCGGGCTATAAATATTATTTTCCCCCGAAACCTCTGAGCTCTGAAGGCTCATGCGGCAGCTTTAAACACCATCCACCTCCTCTCTAGCCCGGGCCTCGATACCAACAAGCTGCAAGGATGCAGCAAGTGCCGAAGCATCTCTGTGGCAGAGCAGAAATCCGGGCTGAAGGCGAGCACAGTCTGTCGCCAGGAATTAATTCCCAGTCCTGCTAATGAGGCATGCGCAGAAACCGCCTTTTCCTGGCCACGCAGGCAGCTGCAGCAGGAAAAGCGACGTTTCCCTCAGCAGAAACGACTGGTCGAACCCCGAAAGCGGCCGCCCACGTCGCTGCCCTCTTCCCTGCCCGTGCGGATGCTCCCCGGCCAAATGATGCAGCCGCGGCGGCGGCTCCGAGTTTCTACATCCCCCTCAAGGCGTCGAGCTATTTTTGTCCCTTTT